TTGCCTAATAGTGTTACCCGTGGGTGGCTTTAAAACTATGCCTAGCCCGGACCCCTTCACGTTCGAAGCCCAGTCCGTAAAAAGGGTCCATACCGCCAATGACGTACCCGATTTCAACAGGAGTTCTTTTTCGACTTCGGGTACGAGGGTTGGCATGAAATAGGCCACGAAGTCTGCTAAAATTTGAGACTTGATGGTCGTACAGGGTTAATATTCGATATCGTACCCACTGAGTTCGACGACCCATTTGGCCAATCGGCCTGATAGTTCGGGATTGTGCAAAATATTAGAAAGCGGGTAAGTGGTTAATACGCATATGGGGTGACATTGAAAGTACGGTCTTAACTTTCTAGAGGTGCTTATTAGTGCGAGTGCCAATCTTTCTAGGTGCGGATATCTAGTTTTTGCTTCTCCTAAGGTCCGACTTATATAATAAACGAAAAATTACGTACCTTGCTCTTCTTGAACTAGGACATCGCTTACTGCGATTTCCGATACTGCCAAATACAAGCAAAATTTTTCGTCTATTTTTGGAGTATGAAGTAGCGGTGGGCTTGATAGATATCGTTTTAGTTCCTCTAATATCTGTTGGCATTCCGGGGTCCAAGCGAAATTGTTCTTCTTTTTGAGTAGAGAGAAAAATTTGTGACTCCGATCTGATGATCTCGAAATGAATCGGCCTAAAGTTGCAATCCGTCCTGTTAGCCTCTGTACAGCTTTCACGCTGTCCACGATGGTGATGTCTTCGATAGCCTTGATTTTATCGGGGTTAATCTCGATTTCCCGATTTGACACCATAAAGCCGAGGAACTTGCCCGACCCGACCCCGTAAGCACATTTTTCGGGGTTGAGCTTCATGTTGTATTTCCTCAAAATCTCGAACGTTTCCTGTAAATGGTTCAAATGGTCCTCTGCGTGCAGGGACTTAACTAGCATGTCATAAATATAATCTTCCATTGATTTACCTATTTGTTCTTCGAATATTTTATTTACTAGGCATATTTTTTAGCCCTAAGGGCATCACATTATAACAATATGTTACATATTTGGTGACAAATGAAGTCTTTTCCTGGTCCTCCGGGTTCATCTGGATTTGATTATACCCGGAATAAGTATCGAGAAAAGTGAGGATCTCGTGATCGGCCATGGCATCGATCATGCGATCGATATTGGGCAGCGGAAAGATGTCTTTGGGGTATGCTTTGTTCAAATCCTTATAATCCACACACATTCTAAGTTTGTTCCCTTTTTTAGGCACTACAACTACATTGGCTAACCATTCGGGATATTTCACCTCCCGAATGGATCCTATCTTGAGAAGTTTGGTTACCTCATCCTTTATGAATGTGTGCTTTACCTCAGACTGGGATCTTCTCTTTTGCTTCACCGGTATGAACCTAGGGTCAAAACTTAGCTGATGTGTCGTTATGTCCAGTGAGATCCATATTATATCTAAATGGGACCAGGCAAAGCAATCAATGTTATCGATAAGAAATTGAATAAGTTTTTTCCTGAGTTCGGGGCTCAACCCCGTTCCCAGGTATACCTTCCGTTCGGGCCAGTGCTCGATTAGTGTGACTTGCTCCAGTTCCTCAATCGTTGATGTGGTGGCATCGGAGTCATCGGGAATTATTAAGGATCGAGAGATCCTCTGATCATCATCTTCTTTGACCCCCTGGTTATCAGATTGGGTCAAAGCTGATGTCTGTGACTGCTATTTGGTATCTCGTTCCCATTCTGAGTCTGATCCCTTTACTGGCGAAGACGAGGATATTGGTTTTGCTTCCTTGACGGCGAACATTTCTCTTGCGGCTGGTTGTTCTCTGTACACTGTTTTGACTCCTCTCGGTGTTAGGAATTTGAGGACCTAGTGTAGGATCGAAGGTACAACTCTCATGTTGTGGATCCATGGCCTTTTGAAAAGGTTGTTGTATCTCATGTCACCTTCGATCACGTGGAACTTCGTTTCCTGGATGGTTCCGGCCACGTTTATTGGTAAAATTATCTCGCCTTTGGTGGTCTCACATTCCATATTGAATCCTTTTAGAACCAGGGTTGCGGGTACGATCTGGTCCTGCAGAACGAGCTGTTCTACGACCTTCAATCTGATGATGTTGGCCGAGCTACCTGGATCAATTAACACATGCTTAACTTTTGTTTTATTCATGAGTACGGATATTACCAGTGCATCGTTATGAGGTTGTATGACTCCTTCTGCATCTTCATCATTGAAGGACAAAGTTCATATGGGTGTGTAATCTTGAGTTCGAGATCGCTTTTCTCTCACAATCAATGTCTTAGTGCGTTTAAGCACTAGTCCCTGAGGGTTTTCGGCACCGCCGATGATCATGTGAATGACGTGCTGCGATTATTCTTGTTCGTTTTGCTTGCCGAAATCCTTGTTTTTAAAATGGTTCTTCGCTCTATCGCTTACAAATTCTCGAAGGTGCCCTTTGTTGAATAACCGGGCCACTTCTTCTCTTAGTTGCCTGCAATCTTCCGTTCTGTGGCCATGGGTGCCATGATATTCGCACATTTGATTGGGATTCCTCTGGGCAGGATCGGTCTGCATGGGTCGAGGCCATTTAGTGGCTTTGATGCGTCCGATAGCAGAAACGATGGCGGATGCATCAATGCTGAAGTTATATTCCGATAAACGAGGTGCTTCCTTAGATCCGGCAGACCTATTGAACCTACTTTTGTTCATCATCCCCCGGGACCCTTGACCTCGATCATATTTTTTGTTATTTTGCTCAAGGTTATGTCTCGATTCACTGACTCTATGGCTTCCGTTGTACTGTGGGTATCGATCCCCGATCGGACCTCGTTCTCGATTAGTATCCCTTCGAACAACGGGTTCAGACCCCAATTAATCATCTTCGACCCTAATTTTTGATTGATACCGATTGTGTACGTCGGCCCACGTGATGGCTGGGTATTCGATCAGGTTATGCTTTAACCGCTGTGAAGCCGTCGAACTTCGTTCGTTCAAACCTTGAGTGAAAGCCAGAACAGCCCAATCATATGTGACTGGTGGCAAGTCCATTCGTTCCATTTGAAAATGAGATACGAACTCCCTCAGCATCTCGTTATCCTTTTGTCTTACCTTGAAGAGGTCCGATTTCCTTGTTGCGACTTTTATGGTGCTGGCATGTGCTTTCACAAAAAGAATCTGCTAACATGGCGAACGAGTCTATGGAATTTGGTAGTAGGTTGTGATACCAAATCATTGCCCCCTTCGAGAGGGTCTCTCCAAATGTTTTTAACAACACAGATTCGATTTCATCATCTTCTAAATCATTTCCCTTGATGGCACAAGTGTAAGAAGTGACGAGCTCGTTGGGATCGGTCGTTCCGTTATATTTGGGAATTTCGGGCATACGAAATTTTTTGGGGATTGGTTTCGGGGCTGCGCTCGAGGGAAAAGGTTTTTGCACGAATTTTTTCGAATCTAACCCTTTTATCATTGGTGGAGCTACCGGGATCTGATCGACCCTAGAGTTATAAGTTTTTACTTTTTTATCATTGGCTTCGACTCTCATTGTGAGTTCCTCGAGCAATTTAGCAATTTCGGGAGTAGTCCCCGATTCTTGCTCATTTGACTTCACTATGGCTGGCTCCATTCTGTGGGTGATTTCTCGAGGTGGACTAGGCTCCGACCTGCTTTGTAGCGGGGTTTGGCTCTACAACTGAGCTATTGCTGCCCGTTGGGCTTGCAACATTTCGAAAATCATACGCAAGCTAACGCCGCTTTCCTTGACGTTATGGGTATCTCGAGCTACAGACCGAGTGCTACCATGGATGTTATTCTCGGGTTTAGCATGGAGGTTTGTCTCGATGGCTACATGCGAATTGATATATTGGCGCTCCGATTCGAGCTCCAACGGCGTTTACAAGCGGCCTTTCGGTATTGGGTGTCAAGTTATTGTTCTCATCTTGAAAACCGGCTCCGTTGTCGATTGGTGAAGTTATTTGATTGGTAGTTAGTCGTTGCTAATCCAAAATCCAAGATATTTTTGGAACCGAGCGCAAAAACACAACAGTGTGTTTCTTCAGATTCGTATCAAATAACCACTGTTATCCTTAGCCCCTCGGTGGGTGCCAAACTGCTTAACCGAAAAACGAATTGAGTTGAATTTATACGTAGTTTTAAGGGTACGTGATATAACTTGGCACAATCAGAAAAGCTAGTAGAAATATATTGAGTATTTACTGTATAAAGAATGAAATACAAACCAAACTGAATGAAAAACAGTTTATGAACAAGCAAGACGAATCAATATACAAAACCCAAAAAAGGATAATCTCTCTATGAATATCAGTATGTTTTTCTCTGTGAATATCAATAATATAGGAGTGTATGAATGCCTTAAAATGATAGATCCCCTTACAGAAATAATAGCTATCCCTTTTATAGTGGAGGGATCATACTTTGGATATAATTAAAAATACATAGTGGGGAACCTATGATAGATTAACTTTTCTACAATTTCTGCCAAGATTCTCTATAGTGGGATTGCAACGGCTTTTGTCTGCGAGTTCGATCTTGACTCGAGCTCTCGATCTTGGTTTGAGCTCGATTCTGACTCGAGCTCTCGAATTGATTCGGGGTCAATGTTGGTCGGTCTCTGGATCATAAGCTTGATAGCTTTACTTTGTATCATAGTTTGATTTGGATCCGAGCTTGACAATGATATCGAACTCGACATTGATCAGCCCCACGGATTCGAAGCTTGTTTGTACCATCTTCGGAACCCATCTCGAGGTCTCACTTCGATCGATTATCTTTCGAACTCGATTAGACGTACGAAAGCCAAAATCTATTTCGACCGTATACAATTATGTTAATGTCGACCTTGGACAAGCATTCCTACTGAAGCTAGAAATATTCGTGCACATGCCGAAATTTCATATTTAGTAAATTAAAAAGAAGAATTAGTTTACTTTGGAAAAAGACAAAAAAAAATGCATAAACTGAAAATAAGCACTCTTTAACTTACAGAGAGCCAGAGCTTTCCCCAAGAAGGAATAAAGGTGAGACCACCATGCTCAAGAATCCATTTTCTTGCTTTCTCCATAGCTTCATCATTTATGTCTTCTCCAAGTAGTCTTAAAGTCACATAGTTGAGAGCAGTGCAAAACATGGTGCTATGTCCTTCTATATGCAACCCCCACCCTCCATCTACGTTCTGCGTTTCAAGAGTCGGAGTTAGGATTCTAATATTATAGTTGGAAAGGAAAAAGTTTCTAACAATATTATTAAAGCACCTGATGATTATATAAGTAACGAAGTATTTCCTTTTGATGCTCTTCTGATAACACTGCATTCACCACTCCCATTATGTATAAACTTATAACCTGCAATTTTAGAATATTAATTAACAATTGACCAGTCCAGTTGTTATACACACCCCATTATTCTTAGTCAATAATATTTTTTTTCCTTCTTATTATGAATTTAAAACTAATATTGTGTTTCTTGTGTAGATAATATGACATTTATCTTCAAAATTCATCAAGTTCCTAAATTAGTTATTATATACTCCACCTATTTCTTGACATTCTTTGCTCTTTAGTACGAAAAGAATGATAATTTTTTATATTTAAACTTTAACGTCTCATTTTCTCATTCATGACATGCTTTTATGGTATGTACTGAAATCTTTCTTTTCGTATTAAACTCTATACTCCGATAAACATCATTATCCGATTTAGAATTTAAATATAATTGGTTCAAATTTTAAGATTCTCAGTATTGAAACTCATTGTACTANAGCCTGAAGTGTTGAATAGAATCTTAATGCCCTTCTCAATGTTGTCTTCACTGCCTCTTCACTTGTTTCTTCTTCACTCTCTATTTTCACTTTTCCCAACTTCTTCATATCAATTTGCTTCTCTTTTTCAAACTTAAAATAAGTAATAAAAAAAGAAAATATATTAGTAATATATCTTATGAAAATGCATGGATTTTAGACGAAATTTAGAGGTTATTTAATAACTAATTAAATTGGTAATTACCTGAAGTCTCAATAGGAGATCAGAACTATGTTTGACATGAAACCGATTCTCATAAAAATGTTGACGTATATTTTCAACATGACATCGTTCTTCAAGCGTTCCACCATCTTTATCGAATTCCCAGTATTGCCTACCAACATGATTGTTCGAACTTGTAACCCACGGTTCATTTCCCTCTGAGAGTTTAAGTTTCCACATTTTTTTTTGCTTTTTTATTGATTTATTTCTTCACTTGTTAAATCACAAGATTTTTTTTCCCAATTAAGTACTTATAGAAGTTACATAGACTTTCTATTCTGTTCTTTATTTGATCAACTAGGAAGAACGTCAACGAAGATCGATTTGCCCTTTTAGTTTCATAATTTTCTACTGATTCCTGCAAAATTCAAGGAAGGAAATTAAGTTTTAAAACTAAGAGAAATAGATAGCATCATTTTTATCTTCTTTTTTTTTGTCTGATTACAAAATTTTTAAAATAAAAACTTGCAGCTTGACGTTTTCGTATCTTCACAATAAATTAACTAATAAATGATACTAGCATATTTTAAGTAGTTGAAGCTTTTGTCTATTGACTACTGTATGTATATTCTAGCAAGCCATGGTTCTCATTATTTCTATTGAAGACATAATTAAGTTAAATGAAAATATATTTCTTATTAACTTAAACTTCTAGATGAGATGATCTTACACTTCAACATTGTCATAGCAAAGAAATTAAGGTCATGTGTTTGAGTTTCACCGCTACTCATTATCAAAAAGAATTCACGTGCTTGACCCATGAAAAAAATATTAGGTTAGGGGACATGTTGAGACTTAATTAAGTAAATAAAAATATATATGTTCTTTCTAACACATTAACCTATTTAGATGAGATATTCATATACTTCTATAATAACATCCTGGAAGTGATTTAAGAATAATGTTATCAAATTCAACGAGAAATAAAAAGAAAATAATGAGAGAGAGAAAGAGACTAACACGAGAGGTAGCTATGCATGAACTACAGAAGAAGTGAACGAAGGTAGTTTGAAGAAAGAGCAGTCTCCTAAATTTATACACAATATTCTAAATTTTTAATTCCAATAAATAAAGATTTAAAAGGGACACCAAAGTGGAGAGCAAATTGTTAATATTTAAATAACAAGTTCGCCTCCATTTTAATATGAGAAGCCTGAATTATTAGACGTCCATATCAAATAGTACTACATTGTTGCAAATTAATATGGTTCATTTCACATAACCTGGTTCTATAACTTGTTTATAAAATGAATAAGAAATGATTAAGTATGCAACTTCTGTTCTGTGGCTATCCCTATATTATAAAGCTTAATATATCTTGTGAATTTCTCTCTTAATTAATTTATTTTTCTAATTCAAAATGTTGGAAATGTTAAGATTATATCTTCTGAATAAACAAGTTTGTGACTGATATATCACTAATAGAAATTCAGTCAAAATCGACTGCGGCCAGCCAATCGACCGACTTCGGTCGGTTTTCAAAATATATTTTTTTTTATTAAACCGATCAACTTCGGTCAATTTTTTTGGCGCAAAATGTGGGAAATTATTTTAGCGTCCCGGAAAATTTATTTATTAAGAAATCGACCAGTTTTTCATATAAAATAAATTAAAATTAATATTCAAAAATAGACCGAAATCGGTCGATTATTTCAGTTAGTCGTTTTAAAAAAACCGACCGACTTCGGTCGATAATTTTATATTTTTTAATAAAACCGACTGAAATCGGTCGGTTATTTTCGCGTGAAAATGCAAGTAAAGAGTACAAATAAAATAAAAGAAAGTCTTAAACCAAAATGTACCAATGGTCTAGTGGTAGAATAGTATCCTGCCACAGTACAGATCCTGATTCGATTTTCAGATGGTGCATTTTTTAATTGCATAATTAAAAATACCGACCGACTTCGGTCGATTTTTTGGGCAGATTTTTTCTTTTTGGGTTGTTTGTGAAACTTAATTGACCGACCGAAATTGGTCAGAAATTGCAACCGACTTCGGTCTCTATTTATTACCGATCAGCCTAATTTTGACAAATTAGTATCGTTTGGAAATCTATCGGATTTTTTAATTTTGCGACCGATTTCAGTCGGTATTTCTGGACGGTTTTAGACAGTTTTATAGTAGTGATACTTAATTATGACAATACGCCAACCACTTGCATGTAATGCAAATTCTCTTGAAACTTGAAAGTATATGTGCCAAATTAAAGTACTATGGAAAATCAAATCATATCCAAGAGCCTTAATTTTAAATTTGGTAGAATATATATATGACTTGCAAATAGTTTTATCCTCTTTTACCGCATAAGTGATTTCTCACTTTTTATTTATTTATTTATTTATTTTGTGTGCGCGTGGGCTTCAAGCATCTAGAGTTCTTGGAACTCACTAATCCAATTAATTCATATTCTTGTCATAAATAACCCACATGAGAGTTGTAGTGCTCTCTGTAAAAATCTATTTTTATTCACTGGGCTCGAATTTTAACTGTAATTTGACCGCTCAAACAGTATTGCACAAGTGGATGGACAAAATAAAACTTATTTAATTTCTTATAAAATCTCTTGAAAATATTGGCTTCTACTTGGAACTATCCTTTTGCGATTATTTGAGTTAATTAGTGAAAAATAGGACGTGTCAAGATCGAGACAAGAGGAGGTTGGTGGCTGCCTTCAGATAACGTTTTTTTTCTTTTCAAAAGTAAGTTTCTAATGTTTAAAATTGTTAAACGACTTATTTTTTCACACTTTTTGAAGAAATTTTCGTTTAAGTATAACAGATACTATTAACTTACATAATACTAACTCTCGGGGTGGATTTACGTGGAAAATTATGGTGCACTTTCCCTAATTTGTGTTTAGCAGTATAATTTCTTTTATATATACAGAAGATAATCTGTTTTAATTTGTTTTCCTTTTCTATCTTTTTCTTTTTTGCCCGTATTGCTGTTTCTCTATTCTTTCTTTTATTTATTTATGTTTCCTCGTCCCTTTTTGTCATTTCTTTCTTTTCTTTTTTATTCATTCCTTGAGTTTCAATCTCCCGTAAAATATATAAACTCTCATCTGACTCCTCACTGTTCAGCAACACTTTTATAATAAGATTAAACATTTTCCAATCTTTTTGTCGTCTCTCTCCTTTTTCTTTCTCTTCATATTTTCGTTGATTTGTGAAGTGGGTTTTCTTCACGTAATAATGTTATTACTTATTATCGATTGTTTTCAATGTATGAAAACGCGTTAACATTAATTATAAATTGAAGGATGTTTTCTTTATGATAATAATATTGAATGTAGTTTGTTCTTCAAGCACCATTCTCTTAAAATCTTATATATGCCTATGCTCGAATACTTTTTAACTTGTACGACATAACTCCTAACCATCACGGATTGTGGTGAGATGAATTCTTCCATCCTTAATTATAGATCTCAGGTTCGACCCTGAAAATAAAAAAAATCTTAATAGGGAGTGCTTCCCTTTGAATTGCCCGTATGCCGAACCATTCCAAATTAATCGGACCCAATACAGAAGTTGAACACCGGATAAAAAAGTAAAAAAAGAAGTTACAATAGTACTACATTTTTAGTTAGGAAGCACAAACGACAAAGAGAAGAAAAAAAATGTAGCATTTCAATTACCATAATTTAATCAAAACTTACGATTCGTCACGGATCATGTGATACAGTTGTGGACCTTCACATTTAGGATGCTTTGCTTTATATTATCTGCTACTAGAGATCTGATAGAAGGGACCAGACGATGATAAATTAAATGATATCATAATTTGTACGACCCTTTGCTCTATCAAATTACAAATTGGAGGAATCAAAATATGTCAAGTGACGATAAATCAAAAGAGATGCCTTTTCGACATTCTTTGGTTTGAGACAAGCGTTTAGAAAGATTATAATTACCAAAAACAGAAAAGCCTAAAAAGATTACAACCTCGGGTTGAGGGCTAGTTCACTTGGTGAGCTTCCTCCTTAATTGAGCTGGAGAGTTCAAATATCATTAACATCCCATTTCCCTTTTCCTATTCCCCTTCTAGGACGAAGCTAGAATACGACCTACAAGTACAATTGAGTTCAGCTGAATTCTATAATTTTTGTCCATATTAGGTATTTGTCTTAAGAAATTCATAGAATATATATAATTTATTAATTTAGAATTCAATAAACTTCAAAATCTTGACTCCACCTCTACCCTTTCCCCCTCTTCTCCCCCTCCCTGATATAATAAAAGAAATTGAAGAGAGAAAAAAACTCCGATCTCCACCCAAAAAAAAGGAAACTAAAAATTACTCCAATTAAAAAGCATTATCAAAAATTTATTTTCATTTTCTTTTTCGTTACAAAATTAATTTAATTCTGAACCAAAGGTGAAACACCAACCCGATTCTTATTGGACTGGGCCTAAGCTAGCTTTCGCATGCCGTGTAAACAACAGACATAAGGTGGCTGATGGATGTCTTTTAAGCGAAGTGGCTATTTGTGCAATTAAGCTGGAAAAAGGAAAAAGAAAAGAAATATAATTAAATACATACATTCTGTGCAACGAAAAAAAATAAATTCTATAACCGTCTAATTGGCGATTTAAAATGCAATTCCTCCAGTATTCCAGCAATTTTCGTTCACTTTATCTTTTTTTACTTAAATATTTTCTTTCTATTTTCACGTGCTCTTACAAGAGGAAGACGACAAGGGTGGGGAAGCAGAAGAATGAAAGGAATCAAGAAGAATATTTCAAATTAGGATAAATTAGACCAGCATTTTACAGGTAACTTCCAACATTTCTTATATCGAGTTTTCTTCTTCTTTTGTATCGAACAATTTGGATGATCTTCTTAGTTGAATTTGATTTCTTGATATTTATAAGAAAGCTTTAGCGAATTGAATTTACTTCAAGAATTGGGTTTCCATAATTGAGAGAAAAAAAACTGAAGGATAGACGATTTTGAGCAGAAACAGAAATAGTTTTAGAGATGCATACAAAAATAGCTTCTTTTCAGAAACACTTTATAAAAAAAAAATATATTGTTGAGAAAAATATACGCAGAAACACTTTTTAAAAGCTTAGTCAAACAATAATTGTTGCTCAGAAGTGCTTTTCAAATTAATTGGTCAAACAAAAATTGCCTCTCACCAATTTTGAGAAAAGTCACAAATCAAAATAAACTAATTTTAGAAGCTTGGTCAAACATGCTATTATTTGTCGGAATCGGCTCAGCTCCAACAGTGTGAGCTCCAGTATATGTCAATAGCCCTTGCGATGAATGCCACGTGGACAAAGAACTTTTAAATGGCTAGATTTGTTTAGTAACTATTTTTATTTATTTTATTAACCGAGTAATATCTATTTAACCCAAAAAGTAGGGTAATTCTATTTCTATACCTACTCCACTCTTCTCCACCGCCACCCAGGTGACCTAGCACTTAGTTTTTTTTTTCAACAATGGAACATACATGCACTGCTCTTCAAAATCCCAAAATAAAAAAAAAAAAAAAGAGCTTCACTCTCGTTTTGTTTCGATCAAGAACAATAAAAAAAAAAGTAGTCCAGTGCACTAAGGTCCTGCTATGTGCGGGGTCCCGAAAAGAACTGAATCACAAGGGTCTATTGTACGCAGCCTTACATAGCATTTCTGCAAGAGGCTATTTTCACGGCTCAAACCTGTGACCTCTTGGTCACATGACAACAATGCTCTCCTTCTCGATCAAGAGCAATCAAATTCATGTTTTTTTCTTTTTTCACATTACTAATATTTTCTAGCTAGTGTTTTTGTAGAGAAAGATGTAACATAGCTAGTTAAAAGAAGGGCATTAGAGTAATTTCTTATAGTTAATTAGTTGGTCCCTAACACACTTTAAGCTGTTAATGACAGTTAATTAGAGATGGAACTAATCATATATATATATATCTCTAATCTTTGTACAGATGGGGGTAATGTAATGAAATACAATTCTCTCATTACTCGCATACATCTCCTTCTCTCTATTTCTCTGCTTCTTCCTTCTTCTTCTTATTCTTCTTCTTCTTCTTCTTCTTCTTCT